GATTATCCAGGATGTTCACTATTTGTAGACAGTCTTGGAATCAAGCATTCAAAAGCAGAGTGCAAAAGACTCAGGAATTATTTCAGCCCATTTCTTTTTGTCGTTGTTTTTTTTCTTATTTAAAGTAAGTTTTGTTGGTCCGTGCTACAGACTCCCTTCAAAAACACTTATCAAGGTAACATTCAGCTTAGTGCAAATGCAAAAGTCTTCTAGGATCTGTAGTCTTTTCGAACAGTGTGAGCCATCCAGTTCACTTTAGTAGTCCAGCTTTCCCGGAGTGCTTCATCAAACTTTTGCTTAAATTGTTTTAGTGCTTCTTCCTCACTCTTCCCTAAGGCGAGAGAGTCCTAAGGTGACAGGAAAACAAGTACTGTTAGGACTTTTAAAAACCACAGTTAAGGCCTCCTTCACCTTTCAACACAAACCACATTCTGTCTTTTTCCGTTTTGACACTTTTTCACCTATTATTCATTGAGCAACAAATACATCAGTGGTATTTTCTGGGTTTAAAGATAAAACTAAAGAAGAATGAAGCAAATAATTTTCACCTTTACAGGTCTATGCTTGTGCATGAGCCAAGACGTAAAACACCCCTGAAATTACCATATACAAGATGCAGGGATGCTGAACTCATAGAATGGTTGAGAGGAACATACAGTCACAGTTTCCTTTGACTGCTAGGACTGACTACAGACCTGGTTCTATATAGCTGAAGAAGAAAGCTTTGAGAACTATATGGAAGTTTTGAAAGAAATGGAAAACAATTAAAAGGTATTCATCTTAGAAGCAAAATCCACATACTGGAAAAACACTAAGTCCTGCTGAGCTGTAAATCTTACTTTACCTTGAGATACTGGATGTCCTTGACAGAGGTTAGCTCTGGAAGCCCTGCAGTTAACATCAGTGCAAAGAGTGTAATAAATAGGTTTCCGTGTTTTCGCAGAATCAAGTAGGCTTCTTCACAATACTGGCGGAACCTTCAATGTTCAGCCGCAAAGCACATGCAATGAAGACAACAGGTGGTAACTTACACAGCTGACAAATATACGTAACCATTCCCAAAAATTATCTGTCCTAACACACGTATCACAGGAACACAGTAACAGGAAGGACAAGAGATGTTTACAGAACCTCCAATGCATTCCCACAAAAACATCCCATGCCTCTCCAACAAGCCCTTAAAACATTGGTACAAAAGACCAAAAGCTTTTAAAAAAAGCACTGTTCTTCAGAAAGAGCAAAAAATGCCAAAGGTAATGCCAGTGTCCCATCTCCCTGAGAATTTGTTAGGTGACACGCCCTGATGATCCTATACAGTGGACCTACAGTGGAAAAACAAAAGCTCTATAGCAGTTCCTACCAATCCAGCCTGTCTCTGTTAGGTAATTCCTTCCTGCAAACACAGTCAAAATGGAACCGACTGCCAGATCTGGCATAAAGACCCATCACACAGACAGCTGAGAACTTGCTCAATGTCCTCAAACGTGCCACCTCCCAGTGTCTAATCCCTAAATTTCCACAGGAAACGGGGAGACCCTCTTCAGACTAAGATGACAAGTTATACTTGAATAAAGTCTCTCCTGAGGCATTTTTCAAGTAAAAGTGGAATCCTACTGCCATTTAGGGTAGTCCATATTCCACAGCTCTTACAATGCCACAGTCACCTAATAGCCTTTACTTTGTGGTTTTAAAAATGGAGCTACAGGTTGATTTGCTCATTCTCCAGGAGAGACATGGGTCACTGGCAGTTGTTTTCCATTCTTCCTAGACACACCATTACAAATATATGTACAGCTTCTTCTACCAGAAGTAGCCATAAGACTTGTCAAGCCATACCTAAGTTCTTAATTTCATCTCTCCGTCAATAAATTCTTCCTGTGAAAGCTGACAGCAAACAGAGCAAAACATCCAGAATGACCCTCCCGTCAATTGGTGAGAATAATACACAAGGGAAAAAGAAAAATCTGCCTCAACAAGTAGGATCACAGAGGGTAGTTCTCCCTTGTCATGTGTTTTTGTGTAGCTCTTTAACCCCAGATGCATGCAAAAGTGTTGGATTACGAGCACGTGGCTGTATATGCCTAAGCATCCAAGTAAGGCCAAGACTGATTAGCACACTGAACGTGGATTAATGAACAAAAGGGCAGAAGGGAGCCTGATTTTAAGTCCAGTGCTTCATCTCACTTGAACAATAGTCTATGGAATCCCTCTCTAGTGCCCAGTGCTGCTGAAGGTAAAAAAAGGTGAGCTCAGGAGAATCTGCCATCTCCTGCTGGAGGAGATAAATAGGAACTGCATCTTTCCACTGCAGAGCTGCAGTTTCTGATGTATGAAGTAATTTGTGTAGGTACTCTAGCTCAGGTGGAGAAGTAGACAGTATCGTAAATGCGTGTTAGCACACCTCCACACAAATACGAATCAGCAAACCAAACCCAGATAGGTTCCTGGTGTGCTGGAAATTATCACCAGAGAGAGTTACAAAAGGAAGAGATCAAAATAATACTCACCGACCAAATTTTTCAGTGTTCCCTGTTTTTCCTTGTTGAATAACATGAATGAAGTCATAGGTGAGTATGAAAGGTACTCGTTCCCTTTTAATTCCAAATTTGGACTTGAAGTTTCCAAGAATATGCCCAAAATCTATATGAAAGAGCTAAAAAAACAGAAGTGAAAATTAATTTCTCCAGTGAAATATTTCACTTTTCTCCTATCTCTACAGGATGCTGGTACCAAGAATAGTTAACTCGTAACACTACTCTCCATAGCCCGTGGTTTCAACCCTTTGGGAGTATTTAAAGACATTTCAAAATGTATTTTAAATCAGTGATAACACCCATACTCTTATGAGCGACCACTGCTACAAATCAGCGTGCAAAAGATTATCTCAGTTTAAAACGTCTGATGTCTGCCAACAGACATCTTTTTGGTAATATCATAGAAAAATCAGCCCAATGATGAGCCCATGAGGCTCAACCTCATCATATCCAAGGGCTTCCTACATGAACTCAGGAGCAAAGCTAGTAGAATTCAGATTCATCTCAAGGAACCTGTGACAGTTCTCCCACTTTAGAGTCAAATATAAGGGCATTTCAGCTTTCTTCTACTAGGTAAAAATCTTAAAAGAATACTGCAAATGTCTATAAAACTCTCACTTTTATAACCCTTGCTAGTTTTACAGGCAGAATAATTTAAATAAAATCAGACAAGTTACAGTCAAAAGTAACAAACAGGAAAATACATTTCTACGAGTTTGCCTAGGTTCTAGGTTTGGAGACTTGCAGTCACAGCATATAAAATTGCAATTCATGTATTTTTAAGGATGGTCTTTTGCAAGATACTCTAAGTCTACTTTTATTCAATGAATCGGAACCATTAACAGGCCTTTTGGATGTTCTGAAAAAGTTCTACAGAACAGCCTCACTTGATGTAGAATTGCTTACTCAACAGGCACTGGGCAGCCCTTCCACTAGTCGTACATTTCCTTTCTTTGAAGCTCCCTCCAATTCTCAGTAAATAAAGGCATCAGTTCTAACAATGTGGGGATTTAATTTTACTGATACGCAGAAGAAATTAAAAGTTCTCAAGATAATTGTTGCACAACAGAGATACCGTAGTTATTCTGCCTACATGAGATTTTTACCTGACCGTTTTTTCTGACCATGATATTGTCACTGTGTCTGTCACCAATCCCTAATACGTAAGTAGCTACACAGTAGCCAGCACAAGACAGAGTAAATTCTTCAATGGCTCGATCCAAGTCATCTCTAAAAATACAAAGACAAACAATATTAGTGCGTACTACTGGTAATTCATGTCATGCCTTGACCTCAAAAAGGGTTTTTGCTTGTTTAAACCAGAAGCCTATTAGGATACCGTAAAACTAGACTTATTTGAGAGAAAATACTGTAAAAGGTAGCTATGGAGAATAGGAGAAATGCAAATATTATGAAATGCAACAACATCAAGACTTGAGACCTATGTAGTTTTCTTGGGTTTGTTTGTTTTGCCAAATCTCCTGTAACTTACTCAACAACATGCAGTCAAAATGCTGCAAATGCCAGAATTTCAGCTAGATTGTTGTTTTAATTCCATGGGCACCATGAATCTGAGTCAAAATTTTTGACATACTAGAAAAATAAGTAGTAAAAAACCTGCCATAAGAGCCACAGATTCCTCAATACTTAAACAAAAACTTACAGAAATTTTGTAGCTTACACTATAGATGAGAAAATAACTGTAGAAATTACCCTAAGTTGTATTCCTTCAGCCAGTTTAAGAGAGCATCTTTGTTGAAGGCAGCAGCAGCAGCAACATTGCTACTATTTAACTGAATGTCAGCAATGGTTTCTGAACTAGAAACAGCCTCAATAAGGCCGGAGTGATCTCCAGTTGCTAAACAGCCATATGGCAATATCCTGAAACAAAACACAGATTCATGTTAAAAACAAAAACAGTAAGGAAGTTTCTTTAGTGTATCTATATTTTGAGAGGGCTGAATACTCATGCTAACTTGAACATTAAACTCTCAAAGGTTAACACACAGATACTGCTTGCAAAGTTAAGATACCAGCAACACATTTAAAACATTAATTTTTTCCTATTACATACATAGATGTAAAAAAAAGAAATTATAAGCAACCCTAATTTTTCCCTTTTACTAGGGAAGACAATTACTTGTAATTTTATAGGACAAACCATAGAGGGAGCCCTTTATTTTCATTTGTTAATTTACTGACTAAACAGACAGTTAAGTTATACTCATGTTCATTCCAGACTCAGTTATTTGTGTAAATGGAAAACAGGATCTTATCCCTTTTCCCCGTTCTTCCTATTTCAACTTAAAAGGCTGGAAATCCTTTTAAATATAAACATAAAATAATATTTTCCAACTCCTACTAATTTTAAGCATAGAAACCTAATGAAAGACAGGAATACATCTTTTAACCCCCCTGAAATTTAAGAATATTCTTCTGCATTCATATACTATGCCTAGTAAAAATATCTACAACAATATCATTGCATTAAAATAAGACACAGATAAAGCTATGAATCAAGGAGACACGTGTCTAAATAGATAAGTATTTTTCCAAAACATTTCCTTACTCCAGATGCTTAAAATGCTAACCAGAATGGCAACTTAGATGGGAGCTCAATGTACGCCATGGAAACATAAAGCAAACTCTTCAAAGGCACTGCATCACAGATCGAGGTGTCTACTCTCAAGCTAGGCATCTCAAGTCAAGAATATTATCTCAATTCTGGTCGTGGATCCATGTATAAAAGAAGGGATGTCCATGCAAATCTAACTGCAGTACTGCAGTACACAAGCTAGCACTCACTAACTTACAAAGCTGTATAAAAAATTGCAGGACACATTTGAGCGAGTGACTGACTGACTGACTGAGAGTGAGTGAGTGAGTGAGTGAGTACAAAGCTGTATAAAAAATTGCAGGACGCATTTGAGCGACTGACTGACTGACTGACTGACTGAGTGAGAGTGAGAGTGTGTAGAAGGAAAAAGAATTGCTAGTGGAGTTGCCATCGGTATTTATATATAAAACAGATATTACGTTCGATTGCTATAAAGCAGAACCATATCTCCTGACTGACACAGCCTATTATCCCAAGGCATAAAAGAAAAACAAATAAAATTCCAGATGAAATTAATTGGAACTTTTTGGCAGAACAGCTATTAGATAACTGAACAGTTTCTCTACCTCAGTGATAACAAACAGCTGAAGTGGCACAAGTACTAAGAACTATATAGTTGGGGATTCTTCTCTACTGGCGACAAAGAGAACCGAAAACCACATTCAACAGGGTATTTAGAGAACATCCAACTTCAAAACAAAAAAAGAAGTGCAGATTTGGAACCTTCTTTCCGTTTCTATTCTATTTCCCAATTAAAAACCCCAACTCTCCAGACCAGAGGGTTCTCACAATGAACAGAAGGGTATCTGTAATTACCGAACACCAGCACTCATGATACAAGGAAGCACTGCCCATCCTTAGCACGACACGACAAACGTAAGCCAAATATTGCCAGGTTAAAGTGCACGCTGGCCTTCTTCCATGGCATTTCAACCCACCCTACTTGCAGCTTAACTGGGCACAGGTCCAACAACTTCCTCTTCAAGAGCAAGCAATGATGAAAGCCTTCAGCCCCTTGAGGACTGTGTGCTTACAACTGGAGGAAAAAACATCCTTGTCAGAGAGACAGTTTGACAGGAGTCAAGTTAGGGACAACTCCTCTGGGCCCTTTCCATCTCATCCTGGTCTTTCTGACTTCAACATCTGTCAGCAGGATATGCTCCCTGCTTTTTAATGCAAGTAAAGACCACAGACAGATCAATACAGCAATCCTGGGCAGGACAGAAAATTTTCTTCTTCATCCCATTTAATATTGTTCTTTATTTCAAGATATATTCTCCAAAGCAGCATCTTTCCAAATGCAATACCAAGTTATGGTAATTTAGCAACACATTCTCTGTAACTTCAGGTCCAATGGTTTAAAAATAATGACATTCTTTAGACTTGTAACAAATACATTTTTCAATATGTTTGTGAACTGATTTCATTCATACGCAGCCGCTTAACATCAGACTTCACACCCGTTAAGGGAGGTGAAAATGAAAACTCACTATAAATAGGCAGTGAAATGAAAAAGTAGTTTTGAGAACGCCCTCTATCCGTCCAAAAATTAACCAAGTATTAAATACTGTTATGACAATTTACCACAGCAAATGTCACTCAACACAGACCAAACTCCTCAAACTCAGGATTTTATGTTGCTCTGTTACTTTACTAGTTTCTCCCTTAACACAATTTCAATGCTGTAATATAGGTAAAGCAGCAGAAATACTTTTTGATGCAAGGATTACTCTCCTAAGAGGTGTAACATTGCAGACCCCACAGCATGCTTGGGAAGACAAATGTTACGCTCCTCTGCTGTGACATGTATTTGTAATATTTAAGCCTTCCTCATAGAAATAATAGAAAGTTATGTAATCTACTATGAATATGCCCATACACATGACTTCAGACGTAGAATTTTTTAACGCAAAATAACTTGAAGTGTTGTAACTTTTCAGGGGGTCTGAACCTCAAAGTCTCATTTTTTTCACTCTGCAGATGCAACCTCAATATAAATACCATTTAACTTAATAAGTTTGTTCCATAATTGCCCATACTTAAAGGACAAGAAACCACTAGAGATAAACTACAGAAAGAACTGAGGAAGTCTGGCTGCTCATACTTACTAATGTCTTAGGCCAACTATTTCCTGACCAATTTTCAGGTAACAGTTTGTCTTAGAAGTGAATAGGTATGGGGATTAATTCAAGAATATGCTTTTTTGGTTTTCTCATTTCTCTCTGGTACTTGACTGACTGACGTCTAAGGTAAACTGACTCTGAGCCAGACTCCTCTAAATGACAGAGCAGTGTTTGTCTGGGGTGATAGTCTTTGCTGTCTAATGCTTGCGTCTGTACTGAGAAGCAGATGCAATTTCCATCTGAAGTTTTATTCAGTTGTGCACTCCACAGCCCATCCAGTGACAGCCCAGGACGAAGGACCTGCTGGAGTACACACTGTTGCATCCTCCTGCATACACAGATTTCCTTTTCTGATACAAACCCTGGTCTTCTTCTGATACTCAGTCAGAACGCACACACAGGAACCTAGACAACAAAACACACCATGTGTGCAAGAGGCCAGTTTACCCATGAGACAAATTAGTTGACAGTTAAGCAAACAAACAAACAAACCAACCAACCTACCTTCTCCTTCTTCAGCTTTGGAGATCTCAAAACCAGTATATATTTGGTGTTCCTCTCCAGAGCTGAGAAATCCCATTGGGAATATCGTGCTTGCTTTAGACACAGACTGGCCTAAGATTTCGTTTTAAATTACTACTAAATAACTGACTGTGGATTGCAGTGCAATTATAAGGAAACTGATACTGTCCCAAACTCCTCGATGGCAGCATATTCATTACCATTTGATCCATGCTTCATAGAAGCTGTACAATTTGCTTGTGGCAAGATATTACTGATTGGAAGAGAGAGGCAAACAGCAAATGCTTCTGCTCTTACACCGGTGAAACAAGTGAGAAGCCCTGCTTTTACTTAAATGGCGTTATCAGACTCTCTGTAGTGGAAAAAAAGTTGAAAAGTGCAAACTCCATTATGCATCCATAAAAGGAAAAAGGGAAGCAACAGCTCTAGGGAAACTAAAACCTCAAAGCATGATATAGTGCAAGAAGAAAAGACTCATTGGTATGGATGTATGAAGTTGTATTTTTCAGGAAAGCACATCTATTTGACACTACTTTTTCACCTGACACCATGTCTCTTACTCAAGTAAAAATTAGCAAACCAACAAGTCCCGACTCAAGAACAAGGCACCAGAACTCATTACCACTGCTGTTAATTCATACATCTGGAGTTGCCTCTCCTTGAGAGGCACGCAGACTGTAAACATGGAAATCAAAGTCTTATCCTCTTAGCTGCATCCTCATGCTCCAGGCGTTTGGCGTGCTGTTTTGTCCAATTCTGTTTTCAATTAAGGCCATTTCAGAGCCTTCCCTTCGCAACTGCCCGGTTAATCTCTCTTTGATAGACACAGAATTGTATCCCTGCCTCAATCCCAGAATTTTATTTTATAATCATAACTATGAGAGTATGAATGGAAGGAAGATGCTCTCAGTTAAGTAAATAAATGGAAGAGGCCAATTATAGAACTTCAATTCTCACTAGGACTTCCCTTTTCTACTTTTTTTCTTCTCAGAGTTTTAAGAAAAATCTTGGACATCAGAGCCACTTTTTGGTGTTCCTTTGTCGAGTTTAAAAAAATGCCTTAGTCAGGAAAAGCATATTTGATGACTCCTAATCACTATTCCTGTTTGCTAGGCACGGTGTGTGGCCCAGGCTGGAACCACAAACTAAGCTTCTGGGAAGGCAGCAACCAAAGAATGCCTCATCTGGGATTCCACAGCTGCCAGAGGTTGTCCTTGCCCCTAAATGCTGGATGAGTCTCCTCACAGTCTATTTATAATGACATAAATTATCTAAAGTTTCCTCAGTGTTCAACTTCACACACACTCAGCCACCTCATCGCAAACATACAGTTCCAGAAACAATTTATTATTCTCATTCCTACCTTATCCCGTGCTTCTCTCAAAGGAATCTTTCCGTAAGCAGCATAAGTAACAAGTTTATAATTTTACTTATCTGCGGGGGCTAATGTTATGTGCCTTGTGAAGCTCCCACTATTATGCTTTAACCACAAAAAATGTGAAATGACCTCAAAGAATCTAAATGAAGTATTTCAAGTAATATTTAAATAAGTACTTCTAGCCTTATAAACAACACTTAAAAATTAAACACAAAGAATTACAGCTCTTTCACAGGCATATAAAATTGAATTTATGGCCTCCAAATGGTTTATAATAATGTGACACCCACCACCTTCTTTAGAACTGTTTTTCTAAAAAGAAATTAGAATTTGAGAATTATATTAGCTAAAACTGGTGCACAAATTGGCTGGAAAAGTTCCCCATGTACTAGAGGGTTGTATGATAACACTGTCCAATGCCTGATACTGTTTCTCTTTCGAATACTCTAGTATTCCTACAAAGAAGTCATGCTTATCTTAGCAAGCATATGAAGGTAAGAAAGCTGCTTTGCAAGAGACTTTGGAAGATACAAAGATATTTCTAGTCTGAAAAATGTTTTCTGACATCCAAATAGTGTTTTATCAAGAAAAGAATGCCAAGTGGGACTTCAGAATTTACGCTGAAGATGTTCACAATGAGTGAAAGTCTCAGTGTGAACAGCGATAAGAGGACTGCTCACAGCAGGAAGAAAGAGGGGCTACTACAAAAAATAGTTGAGTTCATTGCTACTTACACAACCGATTAAAAAGTGACTAGCTTACACAGCAGGAGACATCACTCTAGAGACTTGACTAATGGACTAATAAATAAATGAAAATCCCACAACCCTCCTCATCATTCTGAAACAAGTTTTCCAAATGGTGGAAACTCCTGTACTCATGGTATCTTGGAAAGGTTTATTACTTCATTTTTGAGAGAAGTGGCTTTGCAGGAGAGCAAATGAGAAGATTCTTCTCAAATGGAGTATTTCTGCCCTAACAGAATACTTAAATTATGAGTTTTCATTTCTACTGTAAGTTTACAACCTCACAAAACCAGAAATGGGAGCTTTAGCGTGAAATATGGGCAAGTTCAATACCATAAAAACCTCTTTCATACTTTAGCAGAAGTGCACTACGACATTATGCTTTTTCTCCACTGAATTTACAATGGGTGGGTTAGAACTACTTCATTGAAATAGCATTGAAAAGTGAAATTTAAAGGAAGATGCAATATTTTTTTCCCCCCAATATAGTAGTGGTTCTAAATATATCACCTTTCCTGTGAACCTCATCTTACTATAGAATCTTACCTTACTCTTGAATGACTATCTGCTATTTATCATGATTCAAAAATACAACTGAAAACATGTAGTAACTGAGATTAGCAGATGGTAAGCATAAAACAGATGGAAGTACTTTTTTCTTACATACATACTTAAATAATAAGTCTTTCACCGCCGGATACTGACAAGGCTAAGAATATAAAAATTCCCATATAGACTCCAGTGATAATCCACTTGTCATCAGCCTCCAGGCAGAGTATGTAGTTGTCCACTCATCCAGACTGTAACATCCTAACTCAAGAGGCAAGAATATTATGGGAGTCAGACTCAAAAGCCTTGCTAAAGTCAAGGTAGGGACATCCACTACTCTCTCCCTCCCTCCCAGGCAGCAATCGGACTAGTCAGGCATGGTTTACCCTTGGTAAATCCATAGCGACTGTTCCCGATCATCATCATTTTCTTTGTGCAGCAGCACTCCTAGAAGAGAAGCACAAGCAACTAACTTCTCCTCTCCCAAGACCCTCATTTTCATGAAGCCTGTTATGTAATTAATACAAGATGGGCATTCCTCTGTTAAATTTTGTAGGAAATAGACCACAAGTATAAAATTTATTTGGACAGTAATACATTCATTTGTGGCCATGGCAGCACAAACCATATGTGTCCTTAAGAAATAAGACCAAGAGAAATAAGAAAATGTTAAAAAGAAAAACCACCTGTATTTGTGTATTCTACAATTCTGGTAATTCTCAACCAGATAGTGAAATCCTATTATAAAGAATCTCAAGCCTCCTACTCCCCCGTCCCCAAATTACCAGTACTTAAAGCTGACTAATTTCTAAAGAGGGTTTTGCCTATTAGTTCTACCTATCAGAGAATCTTGATGGTGTATTCCAGATCCAATCCTCAGCAGCTAAGTCTTGGCCAGCAGATCTGTGTTCTATGCTTGTACCTCACTTGCACATATGTATTAGAACTTAAGAGCTGCAATTCCCATAATCACTAAGTCCCCATTTTCGCATATGCCTGGAAAACCAGTGGGCTTTACCAGGTAAGTTTGTTATATGAGGAGTTCATGAAACACCTCCGTTTGGAAAGGCCACAGATACAAACAAACCAAAAAAAGACACAAAACGTGCTTGCTGGACCCTTAACTCAAGAATTGTTTCCTGACCTTATACAATGCTTTTTATCTATGATTTTCAAAGGATGAAAACTGTAAACTATACAAGAGAACAGTGGACTTTATAATCAGCGTGGCAACTTAGATAAACAACAAGAGATATACTGCACCAGGAAAAATATTCTGCTTAATAATAAACAAAAACCCTAAAGTTTCACTTCACTTCTTCCATTATTTCTTTCCATGGCTAAATTCTTTCGTAATGTGGGCCATCTAGGGAACGAAATGCAAAGAGAAGCCATCTAATTAGTTAAGGTAACTGCTTTCCATAGTCTGTTCATCGTGGCTATGACAACTTAAACCTTTGGGCATTGATATAGATGTTCAGAAAGGGGACAGTAGGGAAGGTATTTAAAAAACAGGAAAGCTTTACTGCTGAAAGTGGACTCGCCATCCAAATGAACTAGCCCTCAAGAGACCCTTACCGGAGATCCAGACCAGCTTCTTTCCAAAGTATGTCCATCAAACGCAAAATCTGGAGCGTCAACATGTCCTGTCGGAGATCTATAATGAAAGGTTGAAACTGCTATTTTAATTTCTCAGTGTATTGTAGACAAACTTTCTAATGTTTCTAAGGCCTTCAGAAAAAGGCATCTAAAAATATTCATCAAGACGAAAAGTTAAAGTGGAATTAACCATAATTATATCATCATGACTGATAATGTCTATACTTTGAAACCAGTCAGAAGAAGATGCTTAATTTGTTTACCGACGTTAGAGTAAACCACGTTTACATTAGGGCAATACAGAGCAACACAGCGTAAGTGCAAGTGTGGGAATGAAGGAGGAAAAGGAAAAATTTAAGATTTTTAGCACTGCTTACCATCACCATTTTTAAAGATGATCCCTACAAGATCTCCTCCAAACATTTTATTGTTGTATACTATCCATAGAGGCTTCATTTTAGAATCCATATATCTACACTTCTCAACACTAGAGGGAAATGTAACAAAAGATTTAGTCAAATAAGAATAATTCAACTGAAAAGGTCTAAGCGTTGTTCAAAACACAACAGAACACGGAGACTTCCAGTTTGGAAGTACTTAAAATGTTCTCTGCGCTTTCTTTCTGCTACGAGTGCTTACTAAGTTATGAACATACCTGTTACAGATGGAATATATTGGATACCGTGCCTGGCATACGCATATCTTATGCTTAAATTAAGCACCCGCATTTTCAGAGAAAATACTTTTCTTTATATCCATTCCCATCAACTTTTGGACTTTATATTTAAGTGCTGTTAAAAGTTTTAATGTCTTTTGTGCTTATTGTAAACAGAAGCCAGGAACGCAGTCTAATTCACTGTTAGGCTTATATTTCAATATCTTTAGCTATGGTAATGCATTAACTAAGAGAGGATTAAGTTTCATGGTGGATGACAAAAAACTTCTGACTTAACTGATATCTTAACCTTAGGAAGACTCCCAACAGACGTTCTCTCACTACAGAAAAAGTTCCCTATGACAGCACAATAGAGACAAAGGAAGTTGAAGCACATATGCGTTTCTGCTTTACTGTTTCTGTGCAAAAGCTACAGTGAAATTTTATTCACTCGTTCTTAACTTACTGTAGTTCTGAAAGTATAACAGAAGGATTCAGAGGAGACTGGAGGTCGGAAAGTGCTTCTCTGTAAGCATTTTGTTTCAAACATGTATGCATTGCATCTTTTCCTTTTGCTTTGCTTTGCTTCATGGCATTCAGCTTAATTAGACTATTTAAAGTCTTCATTTTATTAAGGGCTTCCACCTGAAAGAGATGTTTTTTCTTTGAAAGTTATTGCTCTGATTTTACGCATAATACAATGCAAAATCCCATTTCAAAACAAAATAATTCTGTAAGTTTTTAAAAATAGAAATAATGGCAATTAAGGTGGCATTCCCCAAAAAATATGAGAACAGCCTTTTCTAAGTCACTCACGTCCCAGAAATCCCATTTTCTTAAGTAACAAAGACATTGCTGGGATGAAAGCTCCTAAGCTTCAAGTCACTTTTTAAAGCATGACTTAATATTTCCAAAAAATTGAATGAGGTATTTTAATGTATGACACATTTACACAAATTCCTTCTTCAAAATACAATTTTTATCCACTAATTCAACATAGCACATAACATAGGTGCCTCTAACCATACTGAAGGCAACAAAAACATTGAGTGCTTCATACCTCTAACAAAATCAAACACTACTTGAGATGAGCTATGGATGCAGATACTTCATTGTACGTGTTCAGTTAGTTGCATACAACACGATATGGCCATACGACTACTTGCAGCCAATTTTCACACACATAACTACACAAGTTTAACTTCTACAGAGCAGAGTTGTAACTGTTTGTTCATCAAAATCCTTCTGAAGTTAGGCATAAGGTAAATGCTCTAATCAATTAAGGTGTTCCAAAACATAATACTTCATCTAAGCAATATCGTAACCTTAAAAAGGTGTAAAAAGGCAAGGCAATTATTTGCAATCAATACAAGTGGGTTTAAGCCTTTTTTCCCCCTTCTTTTTTGGAAAGTCTTCTACTGGTACATAATTTCTAAGAAAACAAACTAGTGATGTAAATGTACAGAACACTAACAGAGAAAAGCCCTTCAGTAACAAACCTAGATAGCACATACAACAAATATAATTTCTGGATTGCATCTACATCTAAGCAACTTGTTAGCCGAATACAAAATAGCTCTTATAACAATCAGCTGTATTTGCACTAGCCACAGTTAACGTGCTCAGTAATACACATATTCTCTAGCAAACAGCATCCATTTAATAATTACAAAAGCTGATTTCTATACAAGGAAGCTTCAGTCTAACTTACAAGGTGCTGAGTCAAAACTTACCACTTCTACAGACAGACTGAACCCTGGCAGGCAGGATGCTGTGGAAATTGTATGCAGTGTGATTATAAAACTGAGGCAATGGAGACCTGCCAGGTCAGCCATCTGTCAAAACCAAAAGCGCTCTGCTTTTCCACTATTCTACGAGCTGTACAAACATCAGTGACAAGGGAACAAAATGGAACCCGTGTTGTACAAACAGGAACTTTTTGAAGTATTTCTACTTTGAATTTCTTCCGTGTTTGCACAGTTGGGATTTTTTTTCCCCCTTCTTTGATTGTACTGACATTTGTTTCCTGTGAAGTGCACAAAAACTTTACTGACCTTAGGTCTATTGCTTAAAGCGTTTCATCACTTAATCTTTTTATGATTTTGACAATACTAACAAGCACACATGTGTAAGAGATGTTCTTTTCAATGTCCTGTGAACTGCAGTAATAAAGAGCACAACAGTACATTCCTGTTCCGTACACCTCTCAAAGCATAGTTTCAACGTAGACAGTATCAAAACTGCTAGAAATAACGCTCATCAGACAAGTATCTACTGAGTTAGTCTTTGTGGCCTGATACAGCAAATACCTTAATTCCAGAGAGAGATCATTTTTCAAAGATTTTTATGGTCGCGATCTAAATTAACTTGCTAAAACTGCATTAGAGACTTCAAACATGATTTGTGAGTGTCTCTTAATGATCTGCTGATACATTTATTAGTGTATTTAAAAGCAAACCTCTCACAGTTATTAGGGTATTTAAAATTATCTCTTTTTCTTTTTTTTAAACAGCACATCTATATTAACACTAAAATGAATATTTGGTTTCCTTCAACACCTCTATTTCCAGGGAGTACTGCATTATACTACAACTTCAGGGTTTTTTGCATCACCTTTTAACAAAAGCCAAAGCTGCAGGAAGTAGTACTGGAGTCATCTAGATAAAGTTGAGATAGAAAGGTAATAGTTTCTATCGAACAAGCTACCCTTACTGGGCGAGAAAGGTCACAGGTTTAAACTGCACAGAAACCCTTCTTCAGTTCATAATCCAGAGAGTCTACTGTTCTATCCAGAATACATGCATACTGCTGAAAGTATCTCACACATCTCGGAACACTACAGAAACAGCTCTCTACCTCTGAGGCCCCACAGCACCAGCTGCTTTCTGTGCCAGGGGGACTGCTCCATCATCCATCTATTTAGCCATTTTATTTCTGTCTCTCACCCATGGTTCCTTCTCTTCCCTGCTCCCCAACAGATGGACTTTGTCAAGGTAACCAATATGCCCCATAGGAGCAACGGAATAAGCATCTGAGTTACAAGCTAGGGTAAGTCAAGATTTAAAGGAGAAGGGAAGTCTATACCTGTTTAGCAAGCACTTTCATATGAGCAACACTTCCTCGGCAGTAAGCTTCAAGTATCAAACCAAACTGTACTGAAACGGCAGGTATGTGAACCTCTGACCTATAAGAAAAAAAAAAAGCCCCTCATCAGACCACAGCATTTGCACATGAGCATTCTTCAAGTCATTAAAATAAATTTAAAAAAAAAAAAAAAGAGGCAAGCAAACACCAAAACACCTCATGGTCATGTAGATAAACCAAAAAGCAAGATTTAAGAAATACCAGAACACTTATGTGCTGAAGACTATGAGCACCGGCTGGTTTCAATGCATGCCGCTTGTTTCAAGGTCTAGGACTGTTCTGGAGGCAATAATATTACGAGGTAGTGACTGGATATTTGTTTTCAGGAACCCCTTTTATTCAAGAAAGTAGTACTCGTAAGTCATAGAAGATGATACTGACAATCAGGGCTGACATTAAACCATGCGTTCTCAAATCTTTGTAAGGGAAAAGTTAAAACTTGCCTGAGGGGGAATACTTTGAAACAAACCACTGAACCTTATACCGGAGCCAATTATTCGCCACAACACTTTCATGTAGTACTTGCTCTTTTTATTTAGAAATATTAAAACAAATTGTACTTTGAAGACAGAATCAACCTATAGTCCATTCTGCAAGATTTCTGCCATTCATGGAACTGGTCATCGAAAGGAGCAATGACACATAGAACTGCTTTTATTTTTTGTTAGACTCTCAACAATAATATAAATTTTTCCCAACTGTGAGGTATAAATATTGTACTTTTATTGCACACACAGCCAAAACAAACGCTAAGGTTATATACAAACCTAACTTACCAGATAGAGCTGAATGCAGTTTGGAATACTTTTGTCAAACAGTAGATTACAAACCACTGTAATATATTGTTAATTATAGACTTGCTCTGATCTATGAATGCCAAAGGTAAAGAAACATAAAGAGGACTTGTAGGGGACTACAATAATGGCGTGTTTAGAAAAATCCTCAAGAAATCATATTTGAAAGTCCAATCAGGCTCAATAGTTTCAGAAAGACATAAGGGAAAAACCTCCTACCTTAGATGCCAAAACAACATCTGTCCTATTCTCCTATTAGCAAGCGCTCTCTCTAACAGAAATCTGGAGAGCGCACAATCAAGAAAAGGTTCGTATTTCAGGACTTGCACAAGTTGAAGAAGATATTGAGAGAGCTCTTCATCACTAGAACGAGGTACATAAAAGCAGTTAGTAACAGAGTAACTAGATTAATGATATTCCAGAAATTCAAATGCATGTAACAAATCCAACAGTAACAGGTTTGTTTCAATAGCAAGAGTGTTCTCCAATTTTTCAGTCACACGGAGAAGGACATTAATACACAACTTAGTGCAACTGCCAGATTGATCAATTCATCAGGAAGTTATATCTCTAACAGAATTTTAGGGCCCTCAAACCTGTAAGTAAAAACCTGGTGTTCTGTCATGGGCTTTTACGAGATCAAGACCTCAGCCTGAGTGCTAGGTTAAGTACCTGAGACATAAATTATTTCAAATTATTTCAGAGTGGACATCAGCTCCCTTTGACCACTCAACCTCTGACTGAGGAGCTGGACCTTTGGAACCACATAAAGAACCACTGTAACCTAGCAGTTAGCTGCAGTGCACATGGACAAGAACTGCGAATAATTGCATATACCTATCAAAGTCACTCAGCTTACAAAGAAGGGGAAGAGGAGTATTCATTTCACTGAAAGCAAGTCAATTAACGTGTCTTTGTAAGTTACTATCTGTCAGTTAATAGGTGTTAATTTAAGATATACCTACAAAGCGATCCATTTAGCCAAAATGTTTTGTTTGGGGTTTTTTTGTTTGGTTTGTTTGGGGTTTTTTTGTTGGTTGTGGTGGTGTTTTTTTTGTTTTTTTAAATCATACCAACAACATTAAGATCTTTAGAAGTTAAGGAAAAGTACATCACCTTTGAGAAACCAAACAGTGCTCAAATTACTCCTACTTCAGAAGTGCAAACTGAAGTATTTAGCCACAGTTCATAAACGTACCTTTGAAAGGCCTCTATGCTAATTAACTATTTCAAGTAATATTCTGACATAATAATTCCAATAATTTTCTATAAAATCCTCTATTCCCCTCCCCCCAAAGAAACCTCTCACACTTGACAATTATGTTACTCTAGAACAAATGTGAACGTTCCTTGACTTTTTACATTTGAGTATCTTTTCTCCTATAAAAGGCCTGTAGAGTTCAAATTCTCCGCCTAAGATGGAAGGAAAAGAGTATAAATCCTTCTGTCCATCACTTGAACACTTCAGAGATGCAAACACTGAATTCTTTCATTCTCTCCATCTTACTCTGAGCAACTTGAGTAACTTGGTAAAAAACTTTCAGTTATAGTGTGTTGCATTTATTTTTGCCTATTTTTTTAATTTCAGCTAATAGGATCACCTTTAGGTTACATTTTTTACCAGCTGCCTTCATCAGACTTTTTAAAGAAGTTGCAAATTGATTTCTGACACCCAAGTGAACACGATTTTGCTTCAGAGCCAGAACTAAGAATTCTAGAAATAATTCCAGATGTAACACTTCAGTATTATTAGGATAGCCCAGCAGCCAAATTGCTGTTTGAGTTTGAAAGAAGTCAAAATACTCTTGTTTTTACCCCAAAAGTCTAGCCTTGACCATTAAAAAAATTATCATTAAACTATTCACCACAGAGAACTTAGAATTCAAGGACAGGAAATATGGAGTAATGTTGCAAATGATAATGTTATACATATCTTGCCCTAGGTTACAGTGAAAAGTAAAATTATACGTGATAAAGGAAGAACTACAGATAACGACGGCTACTGTGAAGAACAAACAAATCAGTAATTCTCTGTTTTTTTATCATATGCTACAGCTTACATTTCTATTAAATGATACAGCCAATATATGACAGAGAGCACGAGGTGGCTGGATTGCAGTTTTTATAGTATTTGACTATTGTAATATTTTCTCCCTTTGTTATTAGACATTCTCACACTACGTTGCTCTCCCTTTGTCCAAGAAAGGGGTGCACACACAACCCTCTCTGGGACAAAGGTACACTGGTGTTCTCTTAGCAACATGGAAAATAATGATTATTGAATACAAGATGTCAGAATATGAAGGTTTTATTTGGCTGCCAATGTGCTTATCTAGAAATTAGACTGCTTGATTTGGCCATCTATTCATGGCAGGCAGTGTGTTTACATCTTTCCTCTTAGCGTTTTTTTTTTTTTCCTACAAACAAACAGAATGCAGTTTTTCACCCCAGAAATCCTTGCATGCTGAAGTAATACAATGTACTCACCTCATTTGCTTTAAACAACCCACTGCATATTCTCTGACGTACTGGTCTGGATAATTGAAATCCAACAATTCTAATGCTTCTCTAGGCAGCAGCTTGGGCCATATCTGAAGGAGAGCCTGAAGCTGTTTTAAAGAGAGGACTATTAGGTTACAGATAAAGTAACTATTTAAGGGTTTAACTGCCCATAAAAGCATTCATACTAACAGAAGGAGGTTACAGACTGGTCTGGAGGGGGTGGGGAGGAAGAGAGAGAGAGAGAGAAATAATTCTGGGAAAATGGGCCCACTTCTGACTAAGTTTCTTACCCCTTAAAATGATCCAGATTATTTTTTCTGGCACCAGGTCTCATTTACACTTAGTCTGAAAAAAACTGGTTCTTCACACATACACACAATTCACAATAAACAAAAATTAGGTAACCCCAGGTATGTATGTTTCAGAAACAGAGTTTCAATAAAATTTAGATAATGTTTTGTAAATGCTCTCATAAATATGTAAGCATTTTGGTAACAGTAAAAGTTCTCCATTTAAAAACAAAGTTGAAGAAGGTTTTTTTTGAGAGAGATCTTTACCAAAAATATTTATCCACCTCAACTGATGGGGCCCTTTCCCACATGCACTGTGAATAGTAATGAGCTTAAATTGCAAAAAGGATGATTCAGGTCAGGCATTAAAAAAAAACTCCCAATACTGAAAACAATGATGTGCTGGAAAAAATTACAGAAAACACTCGTGTATTATTTTGGACTACCAAGAACAACAACATCTAGAAGTCTCATAAAATAAACTGGTTTTATTGCATTTTAATGAAGCTACTTGCTGTGAGTATATTTTTAATAATATGTATATAATTGTATGACTATTACTTGAAATAAACAAGCTTGAATGTGTAAATGCAGTGTATCAACAGCACAATGTTTTTCCTCTCTGTAAGAACGAGTCACAACTCACAATAAAAATACCCTTTCCTACAAATTAGATAATACAGGTATTTCATATTTAAATAACAACTTATAAAATCTGAATGATTAGGAAGACCTTATTTTCCTCCTGATTTAGTAATCCTTTTCCACCAGCAGTGAAAAAAATCTCTATTTCTACTTTATGTCATAGTTCAACTAATGCTTCCAGTTCAACTATGACTAACACGTATCAGTTCATAGTCTCAGCCTGCATTTAACAGGCATGTTCATAACACTCTGTAAAGGTCTAGGGAGACAGATTCTGAACTGGTTCATCTGTGCAGTTTTGTGAAATTCAGAAGCCAAGAAATGGGCAGAGATCAATCACAAAGCAAAGCCAGTGACCGTACTACAATTCTAGAAGTGGAGGAAAGAATCAATTAAACAGTTTTCGTGGGCAAATACTGGTATGAACACATGCAAGATTCATAATAATATAAAGTAAAATCAAAGATGTTTTTAGATATAAATGTCATGATCCCACAGAGATATACACACAAAAACCTATTCAGTCCATAGCCCAGGAAGGATCAACACCACCAGTCCTTACGTCAAGAAGAACTACAGCCATCAACACTTCTGTATCATGAATACTTGTACTAAAATGCTGAAAGAAATACTAACACCGAGCAGATATTTAATACCATAAAACAGATGCTGAAAATGCAAGCAGCAGCTATGCTTGTCAGACACACAGTAAGAAACTTCAAAACAAATGTAACTTCTAGACAACCTCCTTTAAATTGGGTGCAGAACCAACAAAAATATAGAAACATTTTGTTAATAACGAATGATCAAATGAATGAAGAACCTGAAATAGTGTCTGAAAAGATGAGTCAAAGCGGCCTTACATGCCTCATATATCAGGCAATGAATTTTAAAAGTCATGGTCTACAGCATGTACATCAACTGTGAAATTTATTTGGAGATAACAGACCTACTCACTTTGACTGCTGAAATTATTTCAGAGGTTATTACAATGAGAAAATGTTAAGTGATATGAGCTTAGAGGAAGCAAGATCTAAATGACCTATGAAACAGCCAAGAAAGTTTCCCAAATACCTGCTGCTCTATTCACATTCTACCTGGGAACTTTTAATAAAAGAGAAGTGCAGTCCAACTAGCTCCACATCTCAGGCGTATTGCATGCTTCTCAAAAGTCCAGGTGAAAGGATATCGGAAATACTTGTTGCATTTGGACAGAAGAAACTTGCACCACAAAATGCCCTCATCTACTTTGGCAACAGAGAGGTAACTCTGAAGAACTTCCAAGTACATCTCATTTGTAAAGAAATTTTGCATTTCAAAACGTGTGTTTCAAGTCCTTAAAATCTCTCTGTAGTATCAAACGTGTTAAAATGCTGCACACATGAAATACTGCATACTTCTCCCACAGAGTCTGCAACTCCTGACAAGCTGTGAGAAAACGAGGAACTTCAATTCTCAACAACAATCTAAAGGTTTAGAGAAAACTCAAATTTGGCCTTGGTGTATCAGTATTTTTTATATAAAGAAATAACCACAATTTCTTTCCTAACAAGACAAGTTTACTATATGAGATGATACAATTAAGCACAGGTCAGTATTTTTATTCCAGTTATTTCACGTATTTAAAAAATTAACTGTCCTTTCTCCAGTTCTCATTAATGATGGTGTCACTTCACTGAAAGTGGATAGATTTTTTTTTTTTAAATAATGGCTAAGTTCTGCTTTGAGAATAAATACTGCCTGTGAATTCTGCTAACAAGTTCTGCCACCCTACTACTCCGCTGAGCGAGGAGGCTATGGCAACAGTAAGGGCAAACACCTTCAGAATTCTCTCAGTGCAACTATTCTACTGGAATATTGCAGTACAGTGATGCAACGAGAGCTTGGACAAAATCTATATGGTAAATAATACAAGAAAGCTGCTTTAATCCATTGTACATAACTATTAGTTCAGTGGTCCATAAAGATAGTCTACAATCAGATATAACACTCCATTTCTAAAAAAACCTGACTAGTTTTGATCTGCATTAATAGAAACAGGAATAGTTAGTTAGGTCATTTATCTTATAAGCAACTGGTGTTTGTTTCTTGGAGGTTTTTTGTCTTTGTGTTTGGTTGGGTTTGGATTTTTTTTTAAACTTTTTGCCTTAAGCGTCAGACTTTCACTGAAATACTTACAGCTTACAAGAGGCATTAAAAAAAAACTTCCAGAACCACGGCATGCGTAGTACTATATATATTTACTTTTAATGAGGGATAAATTATGAGGCCTGCTCATGTTCATAAAATTCATGAGGCTGTCTTGCCTCACCTGAAAAGATAATTCATTGGGAATACTTACATGTCTATGTATTACAGAAATTTGGCATGTTTAAGGGTAACGTCTCATTTTTCAGATAGACTATGCTGCTGCCAAAAACGGTATTAAAATATAAATCACACTATTGTCTATACACAAGCAAACATAAATACTACATTCCTTCCCAAAAGCACACAGTAACAAGCAAGATGACTATGTATTTTCAGCCATCCGTTTAAATAAAATGCTTTATACACATTTTTTTAATATTCCCAAATTTAAAGGGCTTTGAGCTGTCAACTAATATGCATACTCCAAATAACTTTTCAAAACTCTGCTACCAAAGGCCATATTTCAAAGCCCTTAGCAAGCAATCAGAATGCCTTTTCCTTCACATATTTTAATGAGTAAACAAATATCTGCTTATATTCCTACAGTTTGTATTTCCAGATACCTTTTAATAATGAACAATAAATTCAGAAGCACATAATGGAATTACTAAGGAACAAAGGATTCTTGCATGTGAAAGAACACAAGTGACCAAGGAATGTGTGGGTGCTACATTTTGTTAGTGCAGTGTTCACGGCACAGACAATGAGCTAGGATGAAATTCCATTTATTTTTATAAGTTTACAGAACATATATATCTAGCTGGTAGGAAGGATGTAATAGAAAATAAACTGTATGCTGGAGGCAAACTAAGATTCTGACTGACTGGGTAACCACAAAAATCACACGATGAATAGATGGAAGTTGAGTTTTCATGGAGTGGTTTCCTTTTCTTCCAAGAACACCTAGCCTGTAACAGGCGAAGGTCAGAATACTAAGCTAGAGTAGAAATGTATACTATCAATCACAATCCGTCACAGCAAATGCTTTTTAGCTCAAAGTTTTTTAAAAATGGAAAAAAATTAGTTTAAAATTTAAAAAATGAGACTCATGGAAAGACATAAATATTATCTCAGTCTAACAGTCTGCAGGAAGGTGAGTGTCATTTAAACGTGCAATTCCGTCAGGATAAGCAGATGAACAAAACAATGTCTGGGCTCACCTCTTAGAGTGAGTACTGTGCTTGTTAACACTGGCCAGACTTTTACAGTTTTGCCCAACCTGCTCTGTACACAATCAGATTAAAAAGTTTCAATACAAATCCAGGGATCTGTTATTTTATTACTTTTAAGTCAGTCTATCAAGCAG